AATAAATTCATTTTATTTATATCAAGGAGGAAAAAAAAAATAAAATAAACAACAAATGGGTGATCGACGATTTTCCGATTATTTTTTTTTTTTTTTAAAAAAAAAAGCCATTTGTTGTAGTAAAGCTTGAAAAATATTTTTTTAATAATTTTTATATACCGAATTTATAATTCTGTTCTGTTTAATTAGAAACTAATGCGTGGAAGCTTATTCTAGTTTCTTTACTACCTTTTATTACGTATATCTTTTAATTTAAAAAAGTAAAGGCTTTTTTAAAAGGGCAACCATTCTAAAAGTAATGTTTTCATAAAAAATAAAGGGATGATTTGACTTATTTCATAAATCAATAAAAAAAAGAACCGTGACCTTAAATTAAATACTTTCAAAAATTTTTAAAGAAAAATTTTAATTTTTTTTTTAAAAATATTTAATTCTTAAAAAAAATATTTTTTTCTCAATTCTTGAAATAATTTATTCATTCCTTGATTTTCTTCGACCATCGTTTGGTAATATTTTCCAATAAGCTTACTAGCTATACTTAAACAGGACGATATAAGTTTGAATAAAGGTAAAATATCGTAATGTATCGTTCTTTTAAAATATATAACCTATTGAAAATTTATTTAAAATAATTAATAATTATAAAAAAAAGTAAATGTTGTTGGTATACAAAACTTACCTGAATAATCAATTGAGGAATGTCTTCAAGAAATACGTTAAAGCAAGAATAAGTAGCAATTCTTGATAAGCTTTCTTGAGAAAAATTAACGTTAAGCTTATCAAATTCTCCGAACTTTACTTTTGAATCAAGCACAGATAAAATTTCAATATCTGTTCCTGCTAAAACAGTAAATATATTTACAATTTTAAGATTTTCACTAAACCAACGTTTGCGATTTATTATTGCTTGTTTTTTTTTGTCTATATTTTCAATATTGTCTTTGTCATCCTTTTCGATATTTTTTAGTTCGTTGTCGATATTTACTAGTTCTTTTTCAAAAATTCTAACTGCCATCGAACAACTTACAATAAATGAACCTATCCAAATTAAAAGACTAGAAGAAAAGCTTATAATGTTAAATATTTTTTTATTTTTATTATGATATTTAGTGCAAAAATTGTTTACCTTGGCAAAAATAATCCATCAACGTTTTTGGACTTTGTAAATATAAAAGCCAAATCCAAAAAAATATCAGAAATAGCTAAACCAAATTGAAATACTGCAGAATTTCTTACCTAAACAATAATAAAAAGTGAATAAGTAAAATAAAAACATTATTTTTTAATCAAAAAATTTATTAGTGTTATTCACTTCAGGATCTTTTTCGTCTTTTTCATCTTTTTCATCTTTATCATCTTTATTTTTGGCGAAAGAGAAAAGATCAGTCCATGAAAATGAAGCTGCTTCTTTTCTAACTACTCTGACTTTTCCATCTTCTTCATCTTTTATATCTTTTTTTTTGCTTGAAGATCTGGCGTATAAGTAAAGTCCACCCAATGCTAATAAGGCTGCAAATGCTATAATGAGGCCCGGTCCAAAAGATATCCATTGACCAGCTATTTTTAAGTTAAACAGTTTTAGTTTTTATTGAGAATTCTTCTTGAAACACACGAACATATGATAATTGAATTCTTACGAAGAGGTTGAAATCCATAAGTTTCATCTAAATATTGTGAAGTTTCACCGGTTGAAATAACTGTGATTATTTTATTCTTAATTAATTCATCTAAATCTTTAAATGCTCGTTTAACAGATCTTTCTGTTCTAGTTTCATCATTTTTAATGTCAAAAGGCAAATATATTTGCTTTTTAGGACCCAAGATGGCAGCTTCAATCCTTTCGCTGGTAGTTACACGTGCATGACTAACGGGGATTGCTTCGGCCAATTCTTGACTTAATTTCGAAAAGAATTCTTTTCGTTCGTCCTTGTTAAGACTTTCAAAATATACGGTCCCATTTACAGTCAATAGAACTTGTCCCAAAGCGCTATCTGAAAATGGTTCTTCCCCTGGAACTATTTGAATATGATTAAAATGTAAACAAAAAATAATTAAAGTAACTCAATTTCGCTCAATTTCAATTAAACTTGATGAAATTAGAACTTACGAGTATTAAAAATCCAAACATGTTCTTTTACACCATAGAGAGGCTCTTGGTAAACTCGGCTCCTTACAAAATTATCTTCAATTATTCCGTAGTATGTTTTACCAGGTTTATTAAATGTGGAAGGGATTATGCGAACATTAATAGTTGTTCCATCATTACTTAAATCCACGTATTTTTTGTCGATTCCAGAAGTGTTTTGACGTATATTACCATCTTGATAAATTATAAAATTACCTCCCGATAAATCAACTTCATAATAATATGTTATAGTGAGGAACTCTGTATCGGGTGCAATAATAATATCATTAATTTTAGGAAATGTAGTTTCGATGTGAAAATTATCATATCCATGATCTAGAGTATTAATAATTTTGAAAGTTAAAATTTTAATTTTTAACCAATATTTTTGTTTTTGTTTAACATTGACATTTACCTCGTTCTACCTCAAATTTATGCAATACAGTAGTTACCAAAGACCAAAATGGCTTATCTATAGGCTGAGCAAGTACATAAGTATTATTCCTCATAACTTTCGATATACTGATAAAGTTCGTCACGGTAGGCATTGGCAGGTCCCAACGATATAATATGTTTTCGTCATTAAAAATATATCCTTCAATGTATCTAGTACCATTTTCATCCTTTCCAATTCCACTTAATAAATAACCTCCATATGGTAATGATGCAATCACATATTGATTAATTAATGAACTCGAGGTATTATTAGTCTTCAATGGATATACATTGAATACGGTTCCAGATGAAAGAAAATCAATTATAATATAAAATGTTTCCGTAACTTCTCGAATTGAAACTTGGCCTGTTACTATGCAAGTTTGTCCAACTCCTACGTAAGAAACACTACAATCAATGTCATAAAAGATTAATCCTGAAATTTGAGTTTGATAGAGAACATCTGGTTCTCGCTTAGTTGCACGACCATGCTCTAAGATTAAAATATAGACTCCTCCTCGTGAAATTAAAGGATTATCAAGAGTTGCTGCTATACTCGTTGTATTAGCATATACAATCGCGTATCTACCGTCCACCATTGAGATAACATTACTTATAAGGCTAAAATTTTCTTTAAACATTATGTTGTCCTGCGCAAGAAGATTTATTTTTCCATTTTCAGTCCTTCATCAAAAAATTAAAAAATTAATAAATAAATAATAAATAAATATAAATTATTTTTTATATAAAAAATTGATAAATAAATTACACTTCATATTGCTGCCAGACTGTATTAGTAGAATTTGTTACAGGTATGTAACGAATAAATCCTTTGTCGGGATCAAAGTTTACAAAAATCCCACCTCGGCTAGGGTACCATTGATTAGTAGTGGCATTAACATAACTCGAACCAAATGAAATGTTACTATAAAAAATTAAGTAAATTAATAATAATTATACATTATTTAAAAAGTTAAATTTTATTTATTTAATAACTCGAGTCTTAAACCTGTAAATCGTTCCATTTAAATCAACTATCATTGCCCAATCAGTGTAACTTGAAATATCCAAAGGGTCCGTGGCATTTGTATAAGTTACCAACAGAAAATTCTTTCTTATAGGATGAATTGTAATGGCGCTCTCCATAGTTCCGTCAATATCCAAAATACAAAAGTTAAAGTCTTGTATATCCAATTTAATATCTTTTGGTACAACGCTCCCATCTGGATAAATCGTTCTAATTGACAAATATTTATCCACCCAAAGTATACCAGCCTCAACAGGGTATGATAAATCTGGACGAATTATATGAAGAACTATCTTGTTATCATAATAACTAACTATATTTAATATAGTGGGTGTGCTGTCGCTGGAGTTCACAGTTGGAATGTCTTCATATGTAAAATTTAATTGTGATTTGATTGGTAATATAGCAAATGAAATTATTGATAAAATTGCAAAAATATAAATATAATTATTAAATTTCATCTTGAATAATTTCGAAATTTGAATTATTTTTAATCATCAATTATCCAATCAAATTATAAAAAAAGGAAAAAAAATTTAAATTTAAACTAAAAAGCGATGAAGATTTTAAATCATTTTTAATACCCAAAAATAGGTATCGAATGATCAGTTCCTCGTTATTAAAATAATAGATACTGTGGGAAACTGTGTCATCTCACAGCAAAATTCAGGTGACATTTCGTTTAAAAAAAAAATCTCATGAGCAAAAAAATTTTTGATCAAAACATCACCTCATTCTATTTTTAAAAAAATATGATGAATTTAAAATTTTAATAAAACTGGATTTGAAGTTTCATTTGGTTTTTTTGCCGTTTATTTATTTTTTAATCAAATAAAGTCATAAATTCAGCCTAGATTTATCGTACACTGATTTAATATTACCATTTTTTAACAAACCATTTATTATCGTATCGAGATAAACTTTGATTCTTTTTGTTTTTTCCTCAAAAACAGTGTACATTTCGGGTTACACAAAGATGTGGACTTTTATTCCAAATTCGATTTTCATTTCAAGGTTCCCGATGTCTTATTTCCAAATATAGTAAAAAGACAATGATAAGATTATTTTGTTTTTTTTTATGGGGATACAACAGATAGATAATCAAAAAAAAAAAAAATATATACCCAAAAGTTTAGATGCACAAAAAGAAAAATCTTAGGAACAACAATAACTTTTTATTTAAAGTTGTGGTGAGTCAATGAAAAAATATGCATATCTTTCAAACAATCTACATAAATGTAAATGTGGCAAAAAAGCCACAAATTTTTGCAAATGAAAATATTATTTTGGTAAAAAAAAAAAAAATTTCAAAACTTTATTTAAACAGCACTTCCAAAATGTTTTTATTTCCTCACTTCCTATTAAATCGAACTAATTTTATTAAAAACATAAAAATAAAAAAATAATATTAAAATGGCAAAGTTACAAATGTCAACATTTTTTATTCTCTTCATGCTAGTGGTTTCCACAACTGCAATGTCGATTAAGGATGATATCGTAAACCTTGAAAAACGAACCTTATGCTCTAATTCTAAAAGAAACATTTTGAGTAAAAGAAACGATGAAGTATGCAAATGTACAATCGCCGAATCGGTTTTCAGTACTGAATTTAGGGGATTTTCCTTTTACTCTCAAGACGAGTGCGGCCAAACTACCATCGCAGGAATGTTCAGCCGGGGATTTGAGACTTTGAATGATACTAGCGATATTTATTTCCAAATCGTTGATAGTTGTGATCGCTTACTTTATGATCTCACGGAAGGATTAAATGTTCAAATTAACAATGACGGGAGCACAGATCCTTTCTTATACACATTTTCCGAAATCAATTTGGATTGTTTTGACGATGGTATTCTTTTCCCACAAGTTGGTAAAAATAGCAAACGCAATTGTAATTTAAATCGACGTCAAGACGGTAATAATGCTATGGCTGTTAAAAAGGGTACTGACGTTGTAGCGAAAGCAAGTGTTGATAATGTGCCAAGATAATTTAAATTTAAAATAATTCTAAAAGAATGAATTTTTTTAATTTAATATGAATTTTTTATTTTAATGTTATTTTTAAAATTATAGTTTTAAATAGTAAAATACTTTATAAAAAATGTATATTTTTTTTTTATATCTTTACGCCCTATAAAATTTATTTTGTTTTTGTTATTTAAATCAATAAAACGAAATTTTTGTGTGAAACGCAATTTAAAATTATAGAACTTCATTTGCAGTTATCTTGTGTCACCATAAAATATCGTAAAACCTAATAAAATTTAGGAAGGTTATATTTAATAAATAAAGTTAATTTGGAAAATTTTCACTTGTGATTGGTAGTAAAGCTTTCCAGTTAAAAAGAAAATATATAAAGTTAGACGAGCAAGGAAAACAACAACCAGACGGAATTAAAATAAAAGTTATATTAGACTAAGAAATACCATATTAAAAAAATCGCAAAACATTTGTGTTAAAAATGGAAATTTTATACTCGTGTAATTTACCTGCGCCAAAATTGATCATTGTGGCGGCGATGGTCATGTTTGACATCAGATGTCTATCCGATATTTTAAGCCACCCTTATGAAAACAGGAAGGTAGCACTCACTAGAATTGTAAAATTCATAACATCGTAAATACAACTATTTAAGTTTGTACATAAACAAAATCGCAATCAATCTAATCTTTAAATTGAAGGTTTGAATAAAAAACTGATTCTCGTTTTTTATATTTGTCCACCAATATTCTCAAGATAAGGAAGTCTGAAAATTTTACTTTAAGATATCTTCCGCAAGAAATTGAATTCCTCTCTTTAGATCTTCATTATAAATTAAAATTGCTGCCAGATAACATTAGAATTTATAGTTTGGATAAGATACCATCAAGTATATACAATAACGTCAAAAATATGAAGGTCAAAATGATGTTATAAAATGAAACTTATTGGTAATACATTAAACTAAGAGACTTTTTTAAATCATTTCCGTTCGGAAAGAACCCATATTGTTGCAACGTTATGCAAAATACAAATTCCATTTTATCGTTAAACAAATTATATAGATAACAATAATTTATGTCTTATTTTAGTAAAACTTTCATTTTTCTTAAATGACAAGTGTGTAAGGGTTACAGTACGATTTCTCGAACCCCAATTTCCCGAATATACCTTTTCCCGAAGCTAATATCCCGAATCCCAATATCTCGAAAAAGACATTTTCCCGAAATTTCAAGCCATTATACCGAATCCAGATTTCCCGAATGGACATTTTCCCGAAATTAAAATGGAGTATAGGGAAAACCGGTACGGTACGGTTCGGCTGATCAGTACGGTACGATTTTGCAGATCAGTACGAATTTTCAA